GCGCCCGTGTTTTTTTTTCTTTTTGTCATTGAGCCTGACACATCCGTGTTTTCCGTTTGATTTTATAGCAGATGTGTTGTCATTGGTTGATTTTTTTTATGACGTTCACTGACCAACATAAGCTATGTCCGGGTTTTGTCAGTTACCGAGGATATGAATAATAGAAGGAGGAAAGGAAGTATGTGTAATAGAACAAAGAGAGATAGTTTTCTTTTTCTCATAGTGTATATTTCCATATAGTGTAACTACTACATAAGCTCTACTACACACTTTTCTAAGAAAGGTAATTTAACCTTATTTTGTTTGTAAATATATTCCTCGATATAAAATTTGAACAGTTTCAATATTGGCCGAAGTACATATTGTTTTTATTATCACTTTCTTTATCAGCGGAAGTTAGACGTCAAGTACGTTGATTAAAGATGGATTTCTACTTACGCATGCGCATCTACTAAATTTTAATCATTAGAGTAAACAGGAAATATAACGAACAAATGGACGAACTAGAATTCCTTGTATTTATTTTAATTTTTAAAGTTAGGAGATAGACGATCCTGGATCGCCATATCTTCTGTAACTACGATTTGCCATGGCGTCTTGGGAAAGATAGTACAGTTCTTTCTCGTTTACTTCTTCACGAATTTGAATTCATTGAAGCCCTTTTCCTAGAGAGGTTTTATCCAAGGATAACAAGTTCCATCTATCTAATCATAGCTGGAGGTGAAAATTGTCGTAATGGACTTAAGAATTTCACAAGTGCATTAGTGCGAATATACGCTAGGCCGGAATTTGAATTCTGATTGCCGATTTCTCTATCGGGGTAAATAACTATTACGGTGTCTTATCATCTGACGTAAACAGCCGGCTATTTCATTCAGTTATTATTTCAAACTGCTCCGGTGCTTGGGAATTATCGAAGTGAAGGTTACATCATAATATCTGTCATATTTATTTGTATTTCTTTTTTTTTAATTTTACGTAGAACATGTCGTTTAGAGACAGAAGATTCGAACTTTGGAAACAGTTATAGAGAATATTTTTTGAAAAATCATTTCGCCTCAAGTCGTGCCACTAGTACACAGGGGATTACACATAGTGAGAGTGAAAAGAAAGATTGAAAATAATGACGAGTGAGGAAAGGACAACTAATGAACGAGGCTGTAATAGACAGAAGAGGGTGATTGACATTGTATTGAAATTTTTGAAGATTGTAGTTACCAGGGAAGCAAGTAAATGGAAGGGAGTTCCACTGCAGGGAAGGGCGAGAGAAGAAACTGTTGGAGTAGAAGTAGCGATTGGGTTTAGCTATTTCAACAGTAAAATGGTGGGACCTATATGCCAATCTAGTAGCACGCTTAAATTCATGTTATCGTGGCACCAGGGGGGCGGGGGAAACAAAGAGTATGTGCCATGAAAATACTTGTAGTTTCTCTAGCAATTGCGATGAACATGTCCGTAAAAATGTTCAACGTTTGGATATTTTTTTTTATTATGCTGTTCCTGTTTTTATTATTTCTGTTCACATGAGCCACTTTCATAGTTGGACAATTTTTAAAAATGTTCCCCGGAAATTAAAACAAACATACGAAGTTTAAAACGATTCATGATCAAACACACACACACACACACACATATATATATATATATATATATATACACACACACACACACACACACACACACACACACACACACACACATATATATATATATATATATATATATATGTATGTATATATATATGAATATATATGAATAATAACAATTATTCAAAGGAATTAATCCAGTGAGTTCAATGCGAAGATAAGTATCGCTGAATAGCAGACGCAAGTCATAAATTCATGATGCAGTTTTATGACGTCGTACCACGTGACAGACCGAAATATTAATAACAGAAGCATACGTCTAGATGCAATGTTATATGTTGTGACGAGTTTAAAATTTAATTTTGTTGAATGTCGGTTGCTTTTTTTTTTAATGTAGATGTCCTCAAACATCTAAAGGTTCTTTTTACTCTGTTTATGTGTTAGTATTGGTGTATTATAAACTAATACCTGTCTAATATTATGTACATGGCTATGTTTTTCGAAGATGTTGTTTAAATGTGACACGTAAGTCTACAGGATAGCGTGGTTGTATTAAAACCAATCTATGTCGTAGTATTATCATTACTATCAGAAATAGAATCTCTAAACGGGCATTTAAATTGATACATTACATTGTTTTTTGTAGATTTGTAGAGGATTTAGTTGTGTGGTTATAGGGTTATTAGAGACTATGAGGTCAATTGTTTTAAATTTTGTATGGTGAGCTTAACTTATTATCAATGGGTTTAATATTTCTACCTATTATGTTTCTGAGGGTTATATCATCATGTTTTAATTAATAATCATCAGGTCCCAATAGTTTACTTTAATAATGTTATGTTTATTTTGACGTACAATATTATTAATATTATGAATTTTGTTATAGATATTATTAAGTTTATTGAGATACATTTTAATTTGTTGATAAATGATGGAGTTAGGGAATCCATTATTAACAAGACTTTGTTAAATGTTATGGAATTTTCTATAGAATAAGGTTTTAGCAGAAGATATTATTTGTGTGCTTTGGATAAGGTTTGTTTTATAATGGCTAACTTATATCGTTGGGGGTCTACACTATTATAATTAGTAATGCTAGTGGGTTTTCTATACAGAAAAGCAGTAAATCTATGTGTGCTGAATCAATAAGTAGATCAAAGAATGGAATTTTAATATTAAGGGTTTAGTGTTAATTTGAGGACGAAGTGACCTTCAAATTTCTTTTTAAGTTGTGTAATTTGATCAATATTTTTAGCTAAAATGAAAATGTCATCTAATTATCTTATATATAGGGGGGGTTATTAGTGTCATTAAGTATTAAATTTTCTAAATGTGGTATATAATAATTATAAAAAACGGGGCTTAAAAGAGATCCCATCGCAATACCGTCTATTTGAATATAAATATTACCTAGGGGATGGCGAAAAGGTACGTGAGTGGTACATGCTAATAATAATATTTAATAAAACACACACACACACAGACATACATATATATATATATATATATATATATATATATATATATATATATATATATATATATATATATATATATATATATATATATATGTGTGTGTGTATATATATTATGTTTAACGTTCTTTTTATAGATACAAGTATTTAAGTAAATGCTCTGTTTATAATAAATAATTTAATACTTTTTATTATAAACAGAGCATTTACTTAAATACTTGTATCTATAAAAAGAACGTTAAACATAAAAATGTCTTTAATAAATAAATTGTCGGACTTTGTCCATTTCTTAATATATTTATGTATGTATGTGTTTGTGTGTGTATGTGTGTGTGCTGGATGTACGTGTGTAGGGTGGTCGAAAAGAAACTCCCATTTTAAAATACTTATAATTTGTTTCATAACCATTTGTTGTAAAAATTATTGTTAATACAATAACTTTTACAACAAATGGTTATGAAAGAAAAACGTTTTACACGAGGTTTTATTTAAAATTAAGCATGGTCGGCAGATTTCGATACCATCTTCTCGATCCGCCAAGGAATCGTCTCAGATAATTTCAGCAGGATCTCTTGTGATATGGAAGACACAACTTCTTGTACTCGCCATTCATGTTCTTCCAAATTCTTGCTTTCGTATAGAAGACTTGCTCCTTTAACCAACCCCAAAGAAAAAATTCACATGCTGTCCGGCCACTCATAGATAAAATGTACAGTTAATCTTCAATCACCCGCACGATATATATATATATATATATATATATATATATATATATATATATATATATATATATATATATATCGTCTCGGAAACTGACTCCGTTTTTTTACGTGGTGTACAGGTAATTTTTGCCTGAGTCTATGGGCTATATTACCTACTTTAAATTCGGCCTTGTTACATCTTGCTGCGTGGGTCAGCCGGTAAATAATCATATATATATATATATATATATATATATATATATATATATATATATATATATATAATTATTATTTATAAAAAAAATTATAACATAAGTATGTTATAAAATCACTACAAAAATAGCCATTTTGTTTCAACACACTCGGTGTCTTATCAAGTGATGTTGTTGAAGATAAAATAAATGGTTTTAAAAGTTTCAGATTAATTAACGATCCTACACTAGGGGAAAACATTGTTACAAAAGCTAGAATAACCAATCAAAAACCAAGTATAGAAAGATTCAAAAGCTTGACAACGAAATCATGTTATAATAGCTATTCAGATCTTTAAAATACGTGTAATATTAAAAATAATTTATACTAACCAGTAATTATAAAATTATATGATAAAATTTAATATTAAAATTAAAAACTGGCAATTTTAAAATCCAAATTTAATCACTATTAAGTTTAAAAAACTACAAAATTATTGAGAAATGAAAAAATATATATGTTTATTCAATTTATTTCTTCGTTGAAATTACGTTCGACAAGACGCTACAATATAACCGGTCATTTGACAATACATGTATATATATTTTTTATTTTAAAGTGTGTGAATGTGGTCTTAAACTCACGCGCAAAACAACAAAAACACAATCAGATTATAATACATAAGCACCCAGACATATTTAGATATATATACACACACACAAAAATATATATATGCGTATGTTTGCTTTTGTGTTTCGTCTTTGAAAGAATTCACTATCTGTAAAAGGCTAATTGTTCCAGCAAGTTGTGTGATACCAAAACTTTATAGTCTGCCAAAAACACATTCCTATGCAACCCAATTCATATGAAATTAAAAATGCTCACCATAGACTATCGAAACTATCACAAAGATTTCATCCAAACATTTTATAACACAGTCCGAAACACATACCATGGCAATTTTCAATCTGTTTTTAATTGTTCCCTGTAAGCACTTCTAATTAAATAAATATTGTCTTTTGTTGTCAAGATAAAGAAAAAGAAAATTAAGAAAGAAAGAAGAAGGAAAGAAAGAATAAATGGAGGGAGGAAAGAAGGCAAGGAGGGAGGAAAGAAAGGACGAAAGAAAGGACGAAAGAAACAAAGAAAGAAAGAAAGAAAGAATGAAGTATGACATGAAAAAATGAAGAAGGAAAGAAAGAATGAAGGGAGGAAGGAAAGAAGGAAAGAAATGAGAAAGGAAAGAATGAAAGAACAGAAGAAGAAAGCAAAAATGTAATTAAGAAAGAAAGAAAAAAGAAAGAAAGAAAGAAAGAATAAATGAATGAAGGAAGGCATGAAAAATGAATAAGGAAAGAGAAAATGAAGGAAAGAAATAAAGAAAGAAAGAAAGAAAGAAAAAGAAAGAAAGAATGATGGAAGGTATAAAAGAATGAAGAAAGAAAGGAAATATTGAAAGGCGGAAGGAAAGAAAGAAAGCAAAGAAAATAATTAAGAAAGATAGAAAAGAAAGAATGAATGAAGGAAAGCATGAAAGAATGAAGACGGGAGGAAGGAATGAAAAATGAATTAAGGAGGAAGGAAAAAAATAAAGTACTTAAGAAAAAAGCAACGCACCAGGAAAGATAAAAAAAAAAAGCAAAGGAGGAATGAAAGAACGAAGAATGAAATCGCGTAAGAATAAAGCAAAATGAGAAAAAGTAAATTAGAAGATAGAAAGCTGGAAGGAATTAAAGAATTAATTGAGAAATGAAAGAAAAAAAGCACATAAGAAAAAATAAAGCTACCAAGAAAGAGAAAAAGGAAGAGGGAAATCAAAGATGAAAGAAAAGAAAGAAGAAAGAAGAGAAAGAAAGAAAGAATAAACGCAAGGAAAAAGGGAGCAAGCAAGAAAAAAAGAAGAGATGAAAAATGAAGGAAGGAATGAAGGAAAGTGGGTAGTAAAAATCAAGAAAGAAAGAACGAAAAGAAAAAATGAAAAATGAAAGAAATGAAGAAAGAACGTATGAACAAAGAAAGCAGACCGAAAGAGGGATAGAATGGAAGAATGAAAGAAACAGAAAGAAGTTAAGAGTAAAAAAAAAAATAAAGCTAGTAATAAAAAAGCAAGCAAGCAAGAAAGAAAGAAAGAAAAAAAGAAAGAAAGCAACAAATAAAAAAGAAAGGAGAGAAAGAAAGTAGTGAGGAATGAATGAAGGAAAACGTGTAAGAAAAAAGAATGTAATATAGAAAGAATGAAAAAAGGAAGGAATAACGAAATAAATGTAAGAATTAAAAAAAAGACCGTAAGAAAGAAAGAAAGAAAGAAAGAAAGAAAGAAAGAAGTAAGCAAGTGAAGCTGAAAGAACGAAGGCGGGAATAAATGAAATAATGAAAACGCTTAAGAAAAAAAAAAGAAAGAAAGAATATAGAAAGAAAATCATCAAAGAAAGAAAAGAAAGTAATCAAGAAAGAAAGAAAGAAAAAAATTAAATAAGAAAGGGCTGACAGAAAGAAGTAATGTAAGAAAACAAGTAAGATAAAGTAAAGCAAGGAAAAAACAACCAGAGAAAAAAGGAAAGGAAGAAAGAAAGAGGGGAAGGAAGGAAGGAAGGAAAGAAAACGTGTAACGAAACAATAGAAGCAACGAAGAAAGAAAGAAACAAAGACAGAAAGAAGAGATAGAAAAATAAAGCGAAGAATAAATGACTGAAAGCAGGCAACAAAAAAACAAACCAAAAAGCAAGAAAGAAAGAAAAAATGGAGGATGAAAGAATGAAGGAAGAAAGTAGCAAAAAATATAAGCGTCTGATTGAAAAGAAAGAAAGAATGAATAAAGAAAGATGGGATGAAAGAATGAAGAAATGAATGAAAGAAACAACACGTAAGAAGAAAGCAAGCAAACTAAAAAGAAATCTAGAATGAAATCTAGAAAGAAAGTAAGAAATATAGAAAAAAAAAAGCAAGCAAGAAACAACAACAAATGTTAGGAGTGAAGGAAAGATGAAAGAAGGAAGTTAGGAATTAAAGGAAGAAAGAAAGCATGAAAGATAAAAAAAAACAAGCCATAAAGAAAGAAAGCAGTAATGGATGAAAATTGTTGTAAAATGAAAAAGATCAAGAAAGAAAGAAAGAAAGAAAGAAAGAAAGAAAGAAAGGAGAGTATGTAATAAACAAGAGCTAAAATGTTTTCTTCAGTTAACTAATTCACTTGGAAAAAAAGATCGATATTGCCGACATGACACAGAATGTGATCGATGAATTGTTGTCTAAATTATAGAAAAATGAAAATAACTCTGACATCTCATTTTAACAGATATATTTACTAAAATTAAAGAATAATATCTTGAAATACTAAAGAGTAAACGTGATCAAGAAAATCGCCACTGGCATCAACCACGCCCTGCAGACAACGTCGGAATCTTCTGCAATTCTCCTTGTTTAAGTACTTTCGACTTTTCCTAAGATCATCGTCAGTGTTAAATTACAATGAGAAATATGTTGTTGTAACTGCGATGCAATTTGCATTCTTTTATGACACATATTTTAAAAAACATGAGCTAACGCGCTCTGTCATAGATATCTTAGTATTTTTTAAAATTTATCCGCTGCAGTTATGAAAGGTTTTTTACAAAACGAGCGTTCCATTATAAGGAAGCTGGCCAAAAATTGGCGACTTCCTTGAGGAATTTAATCGCAATATCAAGAAACTGATAGGGCATATATATGCAAGTTTTGTTGGCAACGACTGACAAGGTGTGGTAATTGAGTTTTTTTTATATAATTACTCATGTGATCGTATATCAATTTTCTTTTCAGGACATTGGTTATATGAAAAATTGCCCGAATATCCTCCAAGCGCTTTCGGCTATACTTCTAGCCATTATCAGGGATGAATTTTATTTTACTTTTAACTGACTATATGCATTGTTTTATGTAGGTAACAAAAGTTATAGGATTTTTTTTTTAAACACAGTCTGCATATAGTAACCTTTTTCATAGTTGATATTATTGAGTGTTGGCTTTTTCTTTTCTTTTTTTTTATTAATAATGCTTCCATCATTTTTAGCCTTTTCGTACATAAAGAAGTGCGAAAGCTTTTACTCGCAACTGCTACGCACATATTCAGTTCCGAAGAGATTCATCTATGCAAAATGTGTGTGATCTTCAGGGTTTTTATTAACAAAATTGATCATTATAATTGTGTGAGTTGTACTTGTGAGTACAATTTGTTTTATTTCTTTTAGTCATGGTCTACCATGAATCCCTTCAATGAGTCTAGCGGGAACTTTTCCAATCATTCATAGGGCTTCAAATACAACTGGAATTTTTGACGTCTTCATGTGCCACATTTTCGAGATATCAACATAAGTATCCTTGCATATTTTTGTTGCTGATACATGCATCTGTTGCGCATATGCATCTACAATTAAGATGTGCATTGAATACTGCTGGAATGGCGTCCCTGCTGCATATACCGAGATTCTTGATAAAATTCAAAGACGTTCTGTAATGCAATCAATCCTGGACTTTTTTCAAGCGTTCCAACCAAAGTCCGGCTTACTGGGAGTGAATGAGAATGAGACTTTAGAAAGAACGTGAAATTCAATCCTAAATAGCAAACAAGAGATAAACCTATCATCTTATTCAAAAGACATGGGATGTTTGTGAACCGGTATATGGCATTTTGTAGAGGACCCTGTGGTTTGAGTGTTATCAAATGAAAGCACCTGCGTTTATTTCCTGCTAGAAGAAGGTCCGTCTACAAGAAAAATGGCGGACTCAAATTTAGTCCAACCGAAGTTTGAAAGAAAACAAACAAGACCAATATATATATATATATATATATATATATATATATATATATATTATGAAATAGACAAAGTCCGTCAATTATTTTAAGACATTTTTATCTTTAACATTCTTTTTATAGATTCAAGTATTTAAGTAAATGCTCTGTTTATAATAAACAGTATTGAATAAAATTTACCGGCCTGGATGTCCGAGAAATTTTCATAGAAAATATTTGTCCTTCGACAGGATTCGAACCTGTATCCTATAGCCTGACGTGCCTTACAAAGGATCGTTCGGTTGGGAAGGTCGAATTCACTGCTTATAATCTTCAATCATTCATGAATATCTCACGTACATTCATAACTGCTCATGTCGTATCAAATGTAAACAAATGACGTCACACAGTATGAAATGGACAAAGTCCGACAATTATTTAAAGATATTTTTATGTCTTTTAATACTGTTTCTTATAAACAGAGCATTTACTTAAATACTTGAATCTATAAAAAGAATGTTAAACATAAAATGTCTTTATATATATATATATATATATATAAATATGTATGTATGCATGTATGTGTGTGTGTGTGTGTGTGTGTGTGTATCAACAAATATATGTATTAAACAACACAATTTTACAATGGACATACGACAGAGACATTAACATTTGCGTGTGTGTGAACATTTGTGTTTGTCCTTTGGTGAATGCTCATACGTACGTGTATGTGTGTATAATGTTCATAGCGTCTTCCCGCAAGTAGGGACCCCTATCTTTTTGCGACAGATCACATTGGAGAGACGAAGAAATGAAAAAGAGAACGAGGCAAGAAGCTGCCAATTATTTATAGTGTAGGATAAGAGACCCCTAGTGAACAATTTGGGAATTAAGGAGGAGCTAACTCCGACAATCTCGACTTCAATTATTTTCTCATTGTGCTGAAGTCCCTGCACACATTTTCATGGCATGTGTTCCGTTTAGTTTCTCTTTCCTGAGTGCCTCGACTGTATGAATTTACGCGTGCTGCTAGATTGGTAATTAGGTCTCACTGTTTCACTGCTGAACTAGCTAGATGCAATATTTTTATTCTAAAAGTTTTTTTTCCAGCACTTCTCACCTGAGGAAATCCTTTCTGACATCTTTCTTCCCTGCTACTTTTTTTTCTTTTATGTGCCGTGTCCCTTCAGGACGTAGGCAATCATGGATCTCCACTTCCTCTATGTAGCTATCAATAAATTTTATCCCTTTGTTTTGCTTCCTCCAGGCCATGTTCTATTATCCACTTTCTTAAGCCCGCCAGGTATGTCATACGTTGCTTTCCCTTGTTTCTTTTTCTCTCTATTCGCCTTGTGGGTATCAGATTCTCCAAGCCCTCTTTTCTCCTTATGCGTTCAAGAAATTTCAGCTGCCTCTTCCTGATGTTAAGTATAAGCTACCTCCTTGTTTGCATCCTCTCTAAAACCCCATCGTTGCTCACACGCTCGGTCTATGATATCCTCAGCATCCTTCTGTAGAACCATACTTCCGTTGCGTGGAGCCTTTTTCATTTCAATCTTTAAAAAATTAAAAGCAACGTCAGTCGCCATATTTTGTCTCTCTGAACTCTTTATTATTATTTCATCACTTCTCACTAATGTCTTCTCATTCTTTTTCATTCCCTGTTAACCTACAGTGCAGTAGTGACATTCCCGCCTTGACTGGAGTGAAAGGATTAAAAAAGTAGTAAGACTACTAATACAGCTAATAATAATAATAATAATA